TAGCAGTCGTGCGGTAAGTGCGCAATCCTATAGCGGGTGCGCATGGAAATAGGGTCCAGCCATCAGCTGCCATGCGGGAAGTACACCATCCTTGCGCGGGCACTCATGGAAGGGAGGTTCAGGCCTTCGCTGCCATGCTGGAAGTGCACCATGTTCGAGCGGGCACACGTGGAATGGAGGATTTGGCATTCGCTGCCGTGCTGGGAGTGCACCATCCTCGAGCGGGCACGAGAGAAGTGGCCTCGGAGGGGAGGGGCGATGCGCACAAGAGTCTGCTAGTAGAGGGAGGGGCGGTCCCTGATTGGAACCAAAAACACCTTGGCATGTTTCCACGCCTCAACGTGTCATGGGGCACGTTGGCGGATAAAGCGTTCTTTAGGGCATTATTGCCGCCAGGGGGGAAATGCTCATATTCGCATGATTGTGTTCATTATGTCTCGTATTTATCCTCATCATTCTTCTTATTCCTGCCCCCAGCCTCCAACAGTCTTAGGTGGCGGTCTGTACGCCTACGCAATCGCCTCCTGCAGTTCAGGAAGCCCGTTTCACCAGCCATGTTTGTCGAGTTTGGGTACGTGCCACCCTACACACAGACGCATGGTTCGTCTACAAAGGGTGGTGGATCGTAGGACGATGAGAGTGATGCGATGAAAGTTGCGTATATCAATATGCCCGCAGATCGATTCAGCAGATTACAGGCATTGCGAGCACGGCATGCCAGGTGAGGTGTTCGAGGTAGAACCGATCGATATTGTTGATAATGATCCGCTCTGCTTTTCAGGCGCACGAGTGGGCCAGGCACGGTGAGCGCGCCAGTCATCGTGCCCTGCGACGTTTGGCTTTTCTTGTTCACACTCCTTCTTATCCTCCTGCACCTCCTCCTCCTCCTCCTCCTCCTGCACCTCCTCCTCCTCCTCATCCTCCTTCTCCTCCTTCTCCTCTTCCTCATCCTCCTCGCTTCGCGGTTCGCATCGCAAAGTGAAGGCCATTGTTGATTCGCAGCTTGCCCTAAGGAACAAGACACAAAGGAATGGCGCGGGCAGAGTTCACTTGTGACATCGGGGGTCACCCTTCCCGACGCCCAGCCCCACCGATCAGCACAGGAGAGATGGCGACCAGGCCCGTAAGTCAGTTACGGATCCAGAGGTCTCCAGATCCCACCACCCACTACGCACGCGCGCGCGGAGCCACAGGTCCGCTACGACACGCGTCCGCGGATAGAGAAAATCAGCGCCATGGTAAGGGATGGGAGGGAGGGGTAGGACGTTAGATATGACGCGAGCGCACCTAGCTTGAGATCCCCCCTCCTCTTCATTCACCTCCTCCTCCCTCGATCCTTTCTGCTGCACCGCGCTGCTCCATCGCGCGCGCCTCCTCCGCCCCCACGCGTCGCCCAACCCCCCCCCGCTCGCTGCTGGCCCCTCGCTGCGACGTGTCCCCCCTTGTTTCGCAACTGGCGGGCCAAAAACCGCAGGTGCAGTTCAGGGGTCGAGGGCCGAGTGCCGATCCGTCACCTGGCTCGGCAACCTCCTCCTCCTCCTCCTCCTCCTCCTCCTCCTCATCATCATCATCCCTTCTCACCCCTCTTTTTCTCCTCCTCACTCCTCCTCCTCCTCCCATCATCATCATCAGCATCATCATCATCATCATCATCATCATCATCATCATCATCATCATCATCCCTCCTTTCTCCTCTTCCCTCCTCCTCAGACTGGGGATATATCTATGTCTATGTGTATATATATATATAAATAAATAAATACCGCCACATTCCCCTCGCAGCCACGGCTGGATTCGCCTCTAAGCTCTGGTCAGATCGCACCCCTGAAGAGGTCCGGGGTGTAATGGCCTGGGTAGTTTTCTGTCCCCCCCTTTGCTCCGCTTCCCCGTGTTCCTTCTCCTCCCCCTCCCCCCTCATCATCCTGCTCCTCCTTCGTGCTCCTCCTCTCTCGTCCCTTCCGTACCTGCGGACGGCAGCACGAAAGCACAAGGTGGTCTCGATTGGTCACCGCGCCGGGAGGGCGGGAGGTGGAGGCGCGGTTTCCCGCTCCACCACTGCCCCGCCACCCGCGCAGTGGTTCGACGTTTGCCACACAGTCCAGCCCAGCCATGACACGCAGCCCAGCCCAGCCCAAGCTTGCTGGGGGACGAGGGTCTGGACGTCTTACGAGATCACTGCGCCTGGCAACCTGTGGACGCGGACGACGTCGTGAGGAGGAGCACGTCAAGGAGCTCTCCACGCGATCTTTGGGCACCTCGTTTCGCGCTGGGTGGTCCGTCTGCGAGGCTGCCACAGTCTCCGAGACGAAGCAAGAAAACGCGTCGTGCCTTCCTCGTGACACCCAGCCAGGAGCACGGTATGCACTCCCCCCCCCATGTTGTCCGCCCCACCCAGGCGGTACTGGACATGCTCTCAGCAAGTAGCTACCTGCGGGGCCTGAAAGCTTCCCATCATCTCGGAAGCGCCCGAAGACATTTAATTATCCCAGTGCAACCCTACCTAGGAGTTGGAGCCCCTAGGAAAGCAGCATTAGTAGTAACAGTAAAGCTAAGCTAAAGCTAAGCTAACGCTAAGCTAAAGCTAAGCTAAAGCTAACGTAAAGCTAAGCTAGAGCTGAGTTAAAGCTAAGCTAAAGCTAAGCTAAACGCTAAGCTAAAAGCTAAGCTGAAGCTAAGGTAAAGGTAAGCTAAAGCTAAGCTAAAGCTAAGGTAAAGCTAAGCTAAAGCTAAGCTAACAGCTAAGCTAAAAGCTAAGCTGAAGCTAAGGTAAAGGTAAGCTAAAGCTAAGCTAAAGCTAAGGTAAAGCTAAGCTAAAGCTAAAGCTCCCAGGGGACTGGGGGAACCGCGGGGCGGGGACTGGGGGAACCGCCTGGGGCGAGTTGCACTGCCCGGCCCCTTTAAGAAAGAGAGTAAGAACCCTCTAGGCAGACCCTAGGTAGGGAACAACAACAATCATCTCAAGACTGTCGCACATTGCTTTTGCTTTGCCTTTCCTTTGCTTTGATTGTGCGTTTGCTTTGCCTTCCTTTGCGTTGCTTGTGCTTTGTTTTGCTGTTGCTGCTGTTGCTTTGCCTTTGCTTTGCTGCTATGCTATGCTATGCTATGCGATGCTGCACTATGCTATGCGATGCTATGCTGCGCTATGCTATGCTACGCTAGGCTGCGCTATGTTATGCTAGGTTATGCTATGCTATGCTATGCTGCGCTATGCTATGCTATGCTGTGCTATGCTGCCCTATGCTATGCTATTATATGCTTCGCTATGCCATGCTATGCTATGCTGGGCTATGCTATACTATGCTAATCTAAGCCAAGCGAAGCTACGGCTACGCGAAGGTAAGATGAAGCTAAACTAAGCTGAACCAAGCTAAGCTAAGCTAAGATTTGATAAGCAACGCTAAGCTAAGGGGACGTAACTGGGGGAACCGCGGGGCGGATACTGGGGGAACCGCCTGGGGCGCTTTCCACTTCCCGGCCCCTTTAAGCCCAGAGAGTCAGAACCTTTCTAGGCAGAGCCTAGGTAGGGAAAGATTCCCTCCTCATCATCCGTATTATTATCATCATCCTCATCCTTCCTCTCGCCATTATCAACACACCATCTCCATGAACATCATCAATATCATCATCACCACCATCACCATACCACCAACACCATCACCGCCATCGTCATCGTCATCACCACAATCACTATTATCATCATCGCCATCATCACCATCACCAGCATCCCAATCATGCTCGTCGTCATCACCACCGCCACCAACACCATCACCGGAATCAGATTGCTTATCCCGACCCTCTTCGGCGTTCTCATCATGCCCCAGTTCGTTCCTCGCCCTCCCTGCTCCTCATGCTGCCCCTCGTCCTCATTGGAGCAGGTGCGCGCCCTGGCCTCGGCGACGGCCCGCCCGTATTTCAGTTTCTTTGGCCTTCGGCGTTCCGCCGCCCCCCCCCCCCTCGTGGGTCCCGCTGCGGACAGGCACGGCCTGAGGACCCCCTTCGCCTTGCAGGGGACGGCAGTGCTTCCACATCGGCGCCGCTGCTCTGGATCTAATCGACTCTTCTGCTGCTCGCGTTCCTCGCCCCTCCCTTTCCCCTCCCCGAGCCAGCGTCACACAGGGACCGCCCATTGATACCTGTCTTGCTGCCGCCTCTGTGCATTGCCTCCTGGCGCCCGAACTGGTTTAAGATGATCAATGCGTTGTTATCATTTACTTACGTACTTGCTTACTTACTCGCTCACTTACTTACTTCGCGCCAACGCATACTTTCTGTTTGGAGTATCTAGTATCCCCCCACCGTACGATTTCGGAGGTCCGTGCGGACTGCTCGGATCGGGGATGGACCCCCATCCCTGGCGCTCGAAGCGCAGGAACGGCGCCGCCTTAGGGCGTCGCGCAGCGAGAATTGGGGGGGCAGCGAGGGCCGCAGAAAAGTATCCCTCTGGAGCCCCTGAATGGGGCCCTTTGGGGCCCAGAAGGGGGCCTCAAGAGCCCGAGAAGTGCACCTTGCTTCCCCCCCCTCCTTTATCGCCCGCCCCACTAAGCGACGCCCAACGCCCCCCCCCCTCCTCTCCCGCCAGAGGCGGAGCTCCACGAGCGCATCCTCGAGGAGAGGCGCCGCAGAAAGCAGGCGCACCTCCAGAGGATCGGCGAGGAGCGGAGCCGTCGCCCCTGGCACGCCGGGACGAGGCAGAGAAGCAGCAGCAGCAGCAGCAGGAGGAGGATGAGGGCAGCAAGAGAGTAGGAAGAGGCACAGCAGGAGGAGGAGGAGGAGGAGGAGGAGGAGGAGGAGGAGGAGGAGGAGATGCAGCAGCACGTGGAGGAAAGCATAGTGGAGGCCGCCCTGGCGAGCCTGACCAATGGAAGATCCTGCGCGGGAGGCTCCAGCGCGCGGAGGCGGGCCGCTGGCACGAGCTCGTGGACGAGCTGCAGACTCGCCGCCAGGAACGTGCCCAGGAGGCTTCCCAGGCGCGGCCCCACTGCCCAGAGGACGGGGCCCAGGCCGCGAGGAGTGGCGCCGGCGGAGGGCTGCGGCCGCCAACGTCAAGCACGATTGCACCGGGACCGCGGCGCAGCTCCTCCGAGGGCAGGCCCTGCTGCCAGCATGTGCGTCCACGGCAGCCGCGCAGAGTGACCAGCTCGTGCAGCGGCCGTTGGACGCCGGTGATTTCCGCAAGGCACTGGATGAGGCTTGGAAGGCAGCGGCGCAGGCCAAGCTAAATATCAAGGAGAAGGACGTGAGGTACAAAATGCAACAGCTGCGCGTGGGAGCGCAGGCCGGAGGCTCCGCTACGTGCAACGACGCTCTGTGCGCCATCGGAGAGGTGAAGGGAGGTGTAAGGTGCCTCACAGCCTGGGTCCAGGCGTGGGCCGACGGCCGAGTGCCCCCATCCCTTGCACGCCTCCTGATAGAGCAGGTCCTGAGGCTGGTCAAGAGAGACAACGGGAAACCACGGAACATCGCCTTGATGGAGTGTTTGTTCAAGTTCGCGAGCGGCGTCGTCCAGGAGACTGTGCGTTTCCAGCGGCCGCGCGACGCCGAGGATACCTCCGAGGGACTCCACTGGACGCAGTATGGTGGGCAACCGGCAGGCCCAGAGCTCATGCTCATGGTGCACCAAGGTCTAGTGAAACTCCGCCCCAGCTTGGCATACTCTTGTCTGGACGCGGAGAACGCCTACGGCAACATCGCCCGTGCGGCAATGCTCAGAGGCACTGCGGCCTGGTGCCCATCCCACGCTGCATTCTTGGCTGGGATCTGGAGTGCGCCCAACACGGCATATATAGAGGAGGAGGAGGAGGAGGGCCGTTGGAGGAGCATACATGTGGAGGAGGGCACAGCGCAAGGTGACATTTCCTCGACCCCGGCGTTTTCGCGAGGCCTGAGGCTGTGCCTGCAAAATGCTGGCGCCCGCTTGGCGGCCCAGAGCATTTGGGTCCACATCCCCAGCCTGGTGGACGACATGCGTCTTGTCACAGCGCCGGAGCACGTCGAAGAGGCCCTCGCAGTCCTTGAGGAAGAGCTGGCGCGCATCAACCTCAGGCTGAACCTCGCCAAGAGCGCGGCGTACATCCCAGAGAGGGGCGAGCAGAAGCTCGGCACGCACCCGGCCATCACTAAACTCAAGCAGTTGGAGGGAGGGCTGCCAGCGCTGGGCAGTGCGTGTGGCGGCGAGTTCGAGACCGAGTCCCCGACTCGGTGGCGGCGCAGCCGGCGTTACGACGACTTGCCGCGGCACGGCGCTTGGCCGATGAGTGCTCCCGTTACCGAGTGGAGTGCCGAGAGGAGTCGTCGTGGCAGGCAGCATGGCATGTCCTCCACAAGGTGGCATCGAAAGCCCCCGTCCTCGACGTCCGTGCCTTGAGGCCCGAGGCCAGCCTGCCTCTGGCGGAGGAGCTGGATGCCATCATCGATCACGCGGCCCGGACGCTCCCAGGAGTGCAAGCCGACGACGGGTGGACAGACGACACGTCCATGCAGCTGAAGTGGTCATCAGATCTTGGCGGCATGGGCTTCGGCTCAGCGGCGCTGGGGGCAAGGCTCGGCCGGTTGGCGGCGCTCGGGCCATGCCTGCCGGTCGCGCGGCAGCACCTGCGAGCACTCTTGCCGGAGGCGGCCGAGGAGGAAATCCTGAACGCTATCCCACTGCCTTGCGAACGCTGGCCTGGCTCAGGAAGAGCACGGTATCGAGCTCAGCGCTTCGGGCACCATGGCCCGGGAGTCCGAGCCGCGATGGGACGTCAGGGCGCAGTTCGAGCCGATCCGGGGGCTCTACAGCACGGTGTCCCGGGTGGTGCAGGAGGCGCAGCAAGCGGACATGCTCGCCAGGCACGCGGCGGCGGAGCAGACCAGCCAGCGCGAGGCAGCTGCCGCTGCCCGGCGGAACCCTGCTGAAAGTGAGCGCCTCAAGAGCAAGGCAGTGGCGCACCTGCGCCACTGCGTTCGCATGCGGTCGACTGCGGGCACAGGGGCGCACGACTGGGTCGACCACTGCCCCAGCGATCGCCCTCTCCAACTGAACGACGAGGAGTTCCACTACGGGGTGCGGTGGCGGCTTGGCCTGCCCGTCATGCGCGCGACCGCATGCCAGCACAAGCCCAGCCAGAAGCGCGAGGAGACCACGAGGTGTGGTAAGCTGTGCGACCGCTTTGGGGACCACGCGCAGCTCTGCGGGGTCGCTGCCTGCCTCCGGCGGCTCGCAACGCAGAGCGGCGTCGAGGCAGAGACGGACGAAGTCTGTCCAGCGCTCCTCCAGGGCGAGCCTGGCGCCGAGGATGCGGTAGAGGCCCGCCTCGACGTCCATCTCTGGGGCCATGGGCCGGAGCTCTACGAGGAGTGGGTGGACGTCACCGTGACGAACCCGCTCAGGCTGGAGAGGAGACGCCAGGCCGCGCAAGAGGACGCCCACGCTGCACGGGCCGCCGAGCAAGCCAAAGTCACGAGGTATGGCGAGGGCCAGGGGGGAGTCACAGTCTCCCCTTCCGGCTTGGAGGCATTCGGCCGCCTGGGGCGGCATGCCCTCGCAGTCCTGGAGAGGCTGGCGCTTCAGCGGGCCGCGCGCGGCGGCGGGCAGCGGGCGCGCTGCCAGCGGCGCTGGCGGGCGGAGATCGGCGTGGCGGTGGTCCAGGCGCTGGCAGAGACGGCAGCCAGTGCGGGCCGGGAGCAGGAGCAGTGAGCCGCCACTCATATATGTCGCACACATGTGGGTCTGCTTTGGTTGGGTCATCACCAGCAGCAGCAGCATCAGCAGAGCAGAGCAGAGCAGATCAGGGCAGAGCAGAGCAGAGAGGAGAAGAAGGAAGAGGAGGAGGAGGAGGAGGAGGAGGAAGAGATCGAAGAGGGGGGAGAGGATGGAGGAGATGGAGGAGGAGGAGGAGGAGAAGGAGGAGGGCGGGAGAGTGAGGAGGAGTGAGGAGGGAGGAGTTGGAGGAGGAGAACGAGGAATGGGATGGAGTGGTGTGTTCCACCATCTGTCATCATCCCTTCTCCTCCATTCTCCTCGTCCTCCAAGGTACTGCCTGGAATGGAGTGAAGCATACACGGCGCTCAGGGGACTGCGCCTTTTGCCAATGCCCGATCAAAGTGCCTATCCAGAATCTTGCTCCTGTTTTGCGGGGTCTCCCATTACCTCCTGTTTTTCCCAACCAACCTGTGTTGTTGGGTCCTCGTTTTGAAGAGACGGTGCCCCGCGTCTCCTTCCTCCTCCTCTCCTCCTCCGCCTCCTCTCCTCTCCTCTCCTCTCCTCCTCTCCTCCCCTCCTCTCCTCCTCTCCTCTTCACCCACCCAGTACACCGCTTCGTGGGCCCCATTTTAGAAATATTGTTTAGTGTGAGCTCCACCGAAGGCCCCAGTGCCCGCGGCCGCATGCGTCACCCACCACCATTTCGGCACACCCCTCACACGTTTCGTGGCTCCATAGGGAGCTCCACCGAAGGCCCCAGTGCCCGCGCCCGCATGCGTCACCCACACCCATTTCGGCACACCCCTCACACGTTTCGTGGCTCCAGAGGGAGCTCCACCGAAGGCCCCAGTGCCCGCGCCCGCATGCGTCAGCCACACCCATTTCGGCACACCCCTCACACGCTTCGTGGCTCCATAGGGAGCTCCGCCGAAGGCCCCAGTGCCCGCGCCCGCATGCGTCACCCACACCCATTTCGGAACACCCCTCACACGTTTCGTGGCTCCATAGGGAGCTCCACCGAAGGCCCCAGTGCCCGCGCCCGCATGCGTCACCAACACCCATTTCGGCACACCCCTCACACGCTTCGTGGCTCCATAGGGAGCTCCACCGAAGGCCCCAGTGCCCGCGCCCGCATGCGTCACCCACACCCATTTCGGCACACCCCTCAAACGCTTCGTGGCTCCATAGGGAGCTCCACCGAAGGCCCCAGTGCCCGCGCCCGCATGCGTCCCCCACACCCATTTCGGCACAACCCTCACACGTTTCGTGGCTCCATAGGGAGCTCCACCGAAGGCCCCAGTGCCCGCGGCCGCATGCGTCCCCCACACCCATTTCGGCACACCCCTCACACGTTTCATGGCTCCATAGGGAGCTCCACCGAAGGCCCCAGTGCCCGCGGCCGCATGCGTCACCCACACCCATGTCGGCACACCCCTCACACGTTTCGTGGCTCCATAGGGAGCTCCACCGAAGGCCCCAGTGCCCGCGCCCGCATGCGTCAGCCACACCCATTTCGGCACACCCCTCACACGTTTCGTGGCTCCATAGGGAGCTCCACCGAAGGCCCCATTGCCCGCGCCCGCATGCGTCACCCACACCCATTTCGGCACACCCCTCACACGTTTCGTGGCCCCATAGGGAGCTCCGCCGAAGGCCCCAGTTCCCGCGCCCGCATGCGTCAGCCACAGCCCCTTTCGGCACACCCCCTCACCGTTTCGCGGCCCATAAGGGAGCGCCAACGAAGCCCCATGTCCGCGCCCGCATGCGTCAGCCACACTCCATCCGCGGCACACCCCTCCCATAAACGTTTCGTGGCTCCATAGGGGGGCTCCAACCGAGGCTCCATGCCCGCGCCCGCATGCGTCAGCCACACCCAATTTCGGCACCCCCTTGCATCACGCTTCGTGGCACCATCGGGAGGCTCGCACCGAAGCACCATGCCCGCGCCCACGCATGCGTCAGCCACACAAATTTCGGCCCACCTCACAAGACGTTTCGTGCTCCAATTAGGGAGCTCCCCCGAAGGCCCCAGTGCCCGCGTTCGCATGCGTCAGCCACACCCATTTCGACACACCCCTCACACGCTTCGTGGCTCCATAGGAAACCCCACCGAAGGCCCCAGTGCCCGCGCCCGCATGCGTCAGCCACACCCATTTCGCACACCCCTCACACGCTTCGTGGCCCCATAGGGAGCTCCGCCGAAGGCCCCAGTGCCCGCGCCCGCATGCGTCAGCCACACCCAGTCACACCCATTTCGCACACCCCTCACACGCGTTTCGTGGCTCCATAGGGAAGCTCCACCGCTCCACGAAGTCCCCAGTGGCCGCGCCCGCATGCGTCTGCCACCCCCTTTCGGCACACCCTCGCACATTTTTTCGTGCCCCCATGGTGGAGCTCCACCGAAGGGGGCCCCAGTGCCCGCGCCCGCATGCGTCACCCACACCCATTTCGGCACACCACTCACACGTTTCGTGGCCCCAAAGGGAGCTCCATCGAAGGCCCCAGTGCCAGCGCCCGCATGCGTCACCCACACCCATTTCGGCACACCCCTCACACGTTTCGTGGCTCATAGGGAGCTCCGCCGAAGGCCCCAGTGCCCGCGCCCGCATGCGTCACCCACACCCATTTCGGCACACCCCTCACACGTTTCGTGGCTCCATAGGGAGCTCCACCGAAGGCCCCAGTGCCCGCGCCCGCGCCGCATGCGTCAGCCACACCCATTTCGGCACACCCCTCACACGTTTCGTGGCCCCATAGGGAGCTCCGCCGAAGGCCCCAGTGCCCGCGCCCGCATGCGTCACCCACACCCTTTCGGCAACTCACTCACCACGTTCGTGGCTTCCCAATTAAAAGGGGGGGTGAGCTCCACCGAAGGCCCCAGTGCTGCCGCCCGCATGCGTCCTGCACACCCATCCCCTTCACACGTTTCTTGGCCCTATAGGGAGCCCCACCGAAATTGGTAGTGTCAACTGCGGTATTCACACCTGCACATGGTTGGGTCCTTCGTCAGGCTAATTTTTTTCCTTTCCTGGTGCACTCCCACCCGAAATGTCAGATTAGTTGTGGAACTCACGCAGGCACGATTTTCAATAGTTCGAGTACGGCCTGGCGTCCCCATCCTAGTCGACCGAACTTCTCTATCTCCCACCTCCCCCGCTTTGGGGGAGGTGGGAAACAGAGGGGAGAAGAGGGAAGAGCGCGACGAAGAGAAGAAGATGGATGAGGATCGGTGGCGCGCCCACGGGGGGAATGAGAAGAAAAAGGCCTTCTCAGAAGGCTCGGAGGTCCCCTGGCCTTCGGAGAAATTTTCGAAGCCTTCCCCGGAGACGCAGAAAACTTCTCAGAAGGCGCGAGGGCTTCTGAAAAGTCCCGCCGCCTTCTGAGCCCTCGTTCGCCGCCGAGAGGAGGAGGAGCAGGAGGAGGCGGAGGAGGAGGAGAAAGAGGAGAAGGAGGCTTTCCTGATTCGACTGCGGGCACTGCATGAACGCGACTCGAATGCCACCCAAGGGCGGAATTACGAGAGTGGCACCACGAGCAGGCGACATCGCGGCAGGGCGCCGGCGATGGACTCACCGCTGCCGCACCCCTGGGCACGGCCACGGCACGCAGTGGTGCTGAGCGAAGAAGAACGTCTGCGCCCGATTCGACCCACACACAGGGCGCGAGCAAAACGTCGTTATTCCCAACCATCTTGTGGTGTTGGGTCCTCGTTTTGAAGAGACGGTGCCCCGCGTTCCTCTCCTCTCCTCTCCTCTCCTCTCCTCTCTTCTCCTCTCCTCTCCTCTCCTCCTCTCCTCCCCTCCTCTCCTCCTCTCCTCTTCACCCACCCAGTACACCGCTTCGTGGCTCCATAGGGAGCTCCACCGAAGGCCCCAGTGCCCGCGCCCGCATGCGTCACCCACACCCATTTCGGCACACCCCTCACACGTTTCGTGGCTCCATAGGGAGCTCCACCGAAGGCCCCAGTGCCCGCGGCCGCATGCGTCCCCCACACCCATTTCGGCACACCCCTCACACGTTTCGTGGCTCAATAGGGAGCTCCACCGAAGGCCCCAGTGCCCGCGCCCGCATGCGTCACCCACACCCATTTCGGCACACCCCTCACACGTTTCGTGGCTCCATAGGGAGCTCCACCGAAGGCCCCAGTGCCCGCGGCCGCATGCGTCCCCCACACCCATTTCGGCACACCCCTCACACGTTTCGTGACTCCATAGGGAGCTCCACCGAAGGCCCCAGTGCCCGCGGCCGCATGCGTCACCCACACACATTTCGGCACACCCCTCACACGTTTCGTGGCTCCATAGGGAGCTCCGCCGAAGGCCCCAGTGCCCGCGCCCGCATGCGTCACCCACACCCATTTCGGCACACCCCTCACACGTTTCGTGGCTCCATAGGGAGCTCCACCGAAGGCCCCAGTGCCCGCGCCCGCATGCGTCACCCACACCCATTTCGGCACACCCCTCACACGTTTCGTGGCTCCATAGGGAACTCCACCGAAGGCCCCAGTGCTGCCGCCCGCATGCGTCACCCACATCCAATTCGGCACACCCCTCACACGTTTCGTGGCCCCATAGGGGGCTCCGCCGAAGGCCCCAGTGCTGCCGCCCGCATGCGTCACGCACACCCAATTCGACACACCCCTCACACGCTTCGTGGCCCCATAGGGAGCTCCGCCGAAGGCCCCAGTGCTGCCGCCCGCATGCGTCACGCACACCCAATTCGGCACACCACGAACCCCTCACACGTTTCGTGCCCCATTGGACTCCGACGAAGGCCCCAGGTGC